ACAATTAAATTTGCATAATCTTAAAATATTGTCCACAGAATTTTTAATTTTTTGGCACAGAATTCCCTCAGAAATAAGAGGTGTATATTGGACTAGGCGTGGATGTTGTACTTTTAGAAGGACTGTCATTTCAATGACACATTAACTCAATACTCTAATGCTCATTTTCAAGTGGCATTCCAGGAAGAAGTTAAAATCCCATGATAATTTCTGATCTCCTAGCTCAAGTTCCTTCACTCATTAAAGTAGGATTTATGCCCAAGGCTGTACGTAAGACACCACTATACATGGTTAGTTTGCACAGACATTGAACTCTGACTCAGTGCTGCAAACAGCACTTCAATATCTTGAAAACAAAAAGCACTAAAACAAAACACAATTCTGTATTTTTGCCACTGTCCAGTATGCCAGAATTATCAGCTCAACCTGATATCAGCAGAAGCTAGTTATGGATTTGAAGACATGTGTACTGTGTTCACTAGAAAGAAATCCAGTGATTCTTTTTTACTATACTGATTCTAAGTATAGCTCTACAGAGAAAATATAGCAGCTTTTAGCATTCAGCCAAAAGAAAGGGACCAGCAATTCGGAGTTGGTTTGTTGATTGCAGCAGATGTTCATTTTATAGAACACTGGCAGCAGGGAAGACCAGCACAATGAAAACAATGCATCATCTTGTTGGCCTCAACTAACCACAGTATGTAATTATCACAGAGGCTTTTATTGTACTAGTGTATGATTGGATGACTGAATCATTTTGATTACCCTGTGCCAAAATCTTTTTTGCTGTGCTCTGTAGCAGTGCTAATCTGTCTGCATGATCTCAGATATGCATTGTCTAGCAGTGCAAGATTACATCTAGAAGCACCAGACAGAGGGACTGCAATGCATTTTGGGACTCCAATTTCCTCTCTCAACTATATAAGCAATATCTCCAAACATAACTTTGAACGTATAACACCCAAATCTGTATCTCTTATTATAAATTCCATGGAATGTTCGCAATATTCCATGTGATCTTTTTGAAATAAATTGATAACACAGTAGTTTTGACATGTATAGTCAGTTTGAAATTTGTTTTAAAAAAAGCCCAAATTTTCCAATCTATGCCACATTTTAAACCTGATGTTTTTATTTTCCTTGTACAACTCTTTCAGTTTACAATGCAGTTTGTCTCCATACAGACTACTTCTCATATGAAGATAGATATCCTCACAGTCCTACACAAGTGCTCTGTGTCATGTAGAACCATTTTCATTTAGCCATTGTTTTGTTAACTGCTGTTTTGCCTAAGAAGCCCAACTCCTTCCAAGTCCCTCTGGTCTGAGAGAAGGGTGCTGTTTATATACACCCACACCTGTTCCTAGGGTTACCAGATGGTTTCAACAAAAATACCGGACACACTTGACATTACATCACAATCTACATTACATCTTATTTAGAAAATACAGGACATTTATATTTTCTCAATTTGTTTCCTGAACAGAAAGCTCAAATACTGGACTGTCTGGTTCAAAACTGGACACCTGGCAACCCTACCTGTTCCCCAGGTGCCCTTAGCAGTATCCAGGGATACAAACATGGCTGCTGTGGTTGCATAAATGGCCTATGTATCTTACTCTGTCCAGCTGTTAAGCTCTCCCAGATGCCTTTCCTGAGGTCACTTCTTCTGTTTCAGTAATAATGCGCTCACCTTGTCCAGTTCTGCAGGTACTCTTAAAGGCAATCCTGGAATGGGTTGCACTGGTGCAACAAGATTAGCTTGATAAACCTCCAAGGCTGGTAGGTTCTAATAAAGGACAGAGTGGGAGAGTTAATGAGTGAGAACATCCATGACTCCTATGGAGCTGTACTGCCAAGGAGATATAAGGAGCAGAGAATTTAAGGGGAAGAAGTGAGGCGACAGGCATGTTGGTGAATATCCAACTCTATAAAAATCTTGAAGGCTAAAATCCTAGCTTTTTTGCCGTGAGAATTCAAGGAGTAAGCAGAAGGCTTCCTTCCAGACTATTTAAAGAATTCCTAGAAAAGTCCATTAAAAAAATCACACTTTACTCTAGGCAAGTTTCTCCCAGAGGTATATGGAACTATTGATTCAAAAATAGGATCCAAATTTCCTGCTTTCTTTTCCTTGTCCTGGGCCTTGCCCATTCTTCATCTTATATCTTTCCAAGTAAGTAGTAACACACAATTATGGGTAGCCAGCATAACCACACTTTCTGAAGTGCAATTGCTTCTCTAAAACGTTATAATTATGTTAATGTGTTAAAAAAGCCTTTCAATTTTGAAATATTTATAGAATTTTGCTGGATGACTCAAGGCTTGGAAGGCAATGAAATGAATTTTTGTTTTGAGGACTCATGATGCTTGTATTTTTGATTGTTGCTCAAGAAACCACAACATGTAGAAAGAAGTCAGCCCTTTGAGAAATGAAACAGCTCAATGGGAGTTTAAAATTCTTTTTCTTTGCTGCTGCCAGTGTGAACATGACACCCAGTCCCTTCTGCCCCCTTAAATGTCAAGTCAACTTGAAGATTTTAAGAGGAATCAACCTACAAAAAATAGGGTAGGATCTTTTTATCTGAAACAATAGCTGAGCAAATGATGAATTTTAAGATTTTAAAACATAATGGAAGTCTTAGATTGGAACCAATGAGGACAATAGGTGAAACTTCAACCTACAAAAGGCTGAGTGACTGACAGCTGCTTAACTACTTTCTCTTGGTAGGTGGAATCCTATCAGCATGGATGATATAACAGTCTAGCTTGTGGGATAGGGAAGGAGGGAGACCAAACAAACAATTATATTTAATTCTGCAACTGAGGCTATAATACTTTAAACCTTTAAAACTAGGAGCTGGAGAGCACAACTGATAATGTTCATAAAAGTTAATTTGTATTCTTCACAAATTCATCTATTGTCTTGGTAACATGAGTACGAATGGCAGCCCTACAGACAGCTCAAAAGCTGTCAGGATGCTATCTGTATGTGTCAAAAGTGGCTGTTGTGTGAGAGCTGAAAGGGTTTTTTAATCTTACACACTTTTATAGTAAAAGTGCTAAGGGTATATATGAAGAAAACCCTTAGAAGTAATAATAATGAAAATGCCTTAGATTCTCTCTCGTACTCTGTTAATGAGGTTATGAGTTTTAGAAGAATAAACTGACCAAGGAGCTATGAATGAAATGTGGAAATAAGAGACTATGTCTAGACTAGGGAGTTTTTCCGGGATACCGCTGGTATCTCAGAAAAACTCTGCTGCATCCAGGGAATGTGTCTGCTTTTCCAACATTTTCTGTGGAAGAGCAGACATGCTCTTTTAGAAGCCCTGTCTTCCTCCTGGCATGAGGAAGAAGGGCTCTTCTGAAAGAGGAGGTTTTTCAGAAATTTGGCCCAGTGTAGATGGGCCAAATTTCAGTAAAGTCTTTTCTGACAAAACTATTGGAAAAAGGTATGCATATTTTCCGATAAAAAGCGGCAGTGTAGACATAGCCTAAGCCACATAGGTGGAATCTTGGCTAGCCAATCAGAGACTTTCTTTAATAAGAGTTAATAAATTATAACAAATAGAAATATCTCTAAAAACTAGAGAGAGACAAGGTGGGTTGAAGTAATGTCTTTTATTGGACCAACTTCTCTTGGGGAAAGAGACAATCTTTTGAGCTTACACAGAACTTGAAAAGCTTGTCTCTTTCACCAATAGAAGTTGACCCAATAAAATATATTAACTTACTTGCCATGCTTCTCTAATATCATGGGACCAAAACAGCTATAACAACTTTAAAAAACAAGATATATAAAGTCTGAGTGACTGATAATTTTTCATGTTACCATGAAAACAGATAATGAATTTGTGAAGAAAAAAAACGTAACCTGTTTGAACATTGAGAGCTACAACTCTAGAATATAAATTTAATACAGCAATATTTTTCTTCTCCTCTCTTAATTCTTTTAGACACCCACACTCCTACAGAAAGATTATTCTTCTAAACAAAAAACACTTATAATCTAAAAATTAAATTTCTAATTTTAATATAAAAGTTAAAAGATAGCTAAAAACTAGTTTGAAAGATTACAACAGTTCAAGACAGAGAACTGGCAATGCCCTAAGACAGTGTTCCCCAATTTGTGCTCCAGGGAACCTTGGGGATCCGCGAAGCGAAAGCAAGGGTTCTGCAAAGAGCCAGTACTCCCCCGCCCCGTTAAAGAGACAGAGCCATGGCGAGGGCTTTATTTTTTTTTGCTCAACGAAACGCGGCAGGGGCCATTTTTTTTAAGGCAACTCTAGGGGTTCCATGGCCAAATAAAATTGGGAAACACTGCCCTAAGAGATGGGATATGCAATATAAAAGGTTTCCCAGAGATGTCAGGAGAAGTTGGGAGCTTTGTGAAGTTGATGCCATTGCCACCAGATAGATGAAGCAGTACTACATGACTTGAAACCTCCCCTTCGTGCTTTGGCTGGTTAAGAAAAGTGCTTGAATCTTCTGGACAACAATTCAAACCTGCACTGAAATTGTACTATGAAACACAAGAAAGAAGAAACAAACTGAAAAAAGCAATGCAAAAAAATGAAGGAAAGCTGAAAGTCAAGTACAGTAAAACTCCATTAGTTTGACCAGCAGCTGATTCTGGCCACCGGCAAGCTTGAAACTGCTGATCAGTTTCAGCAGCAGCTGACTCTGGGACGCCTAGGGCAGAGCAGCTGGGGTGCTGCCGGATTGGTCCCGTAGCACCGCTCCCCCAGGCATCCCCAAGAGCAGCTGGGGTGCTGCCGGGTTGGTCTCGCAGTGCTGAGGGGCGGCGCTACCAGACCAACTGGGTAGCACTCCAGCTACTCTACTGCAGGCGTCCCCGATTCAGCTGCTGTTGAAACTGACCAGCAGAGGCTGAATCGGGGACTCCTGGGGCAGAGCCGGACTATCGAAAGGGGGGGCTATGAGGGGTCTGGGGTGGCATCCTCCCCACCCCACCCTGGATCCCTCATAGCCCCCCTTCGGATAGTCCGGCATATCTGATATTCCGGCACCTCCTGGGTCCTAAAGCTGCCGGATTGTCGGAAGTTTACTGTATTAGATTAAGTCTCTGCAGGGATAAAAAAGGTACAAAAGCACTAAAGAATTGGGCTACATCTACACTGCTGGTTTTGCTGGCAGTGAGTATGCAAATGAGGCGTGGATTAGTGTATCATCACACCCTATTTGCATAATTTATGCAAGGTTTTTGCAAGCAGGGTGGGAAATAGCAGTGTGGATATTTTCTTTTTGCGCAACACCCCCTTTTCCCAGCAGATCCGTAAGGATCTGGAGGGAAAGGATCTGGCAGGAAAAGGGGTTTTTGTGCAAAAAGAAAACGTCCACACTACTTTTCTTTCTGCAAAAACCGTTTGTGCAAAAACACATTGCATAAATTATAAAAATGAGGCATGGTGATATGCTAATCTGTGCCTCATTCGCATATTCACTGCCGGCAAAACTGGCAATGTAGACGTAGCCTTGATGTTCACAGCCAAGGTGGGTACTGAATCAAATCAGTGCTCTGACCATATGTCAGTAGAGGACAAATTATAGTCAGATCTTTTGTTGTCCAGTGGGAGGAGTTTGATGCTCAGATTCCTGAATGCATCCATTACTGGACACATTAGTATGGCAAAGCTGAGAAATGCCAGCTGAATTCAGACTTTTGGCTCCTCTCTCCCTTTAACCCGCCCCCCTTCTCAAAAATCCTGTGTGTTACCCTCCTATAAGATGTGGCCACTGGCAAGCTTGAAATCAAACATGTAGCTTTAAATGTGAAAAAACTGGAGAGTCTTGCCTCTGTGTCTCATTAGAGCTTTCCAAGTGAAGTAATATTTCCCAGCTGGCCAGCAGCTTTAGGAGAAAGGCACCATTTTTCCCTTTATTTTAAAGACACATCATTGACAAAGAACATCAAAATAACAAATTTATGGTTTTAACAGTGTTTCTAGCACAGAGGGTGAAATTAGATCCTTTCAATACTGCTTAAGAAGAAGCAGAATTGAATAACTCAAGGGATAAAATCACAGTTACAGGGTAAAAGAAATGAGTTCAAAATATGTGACTAGGACCCTGAGTCCATAATTTATACCACAGATGTATTTTTCAGGTTGCAAATATAGTATTCTACATCCAAGGCCCCCAGGCTCCAGCTGCTGCTGGGTCACACTGGGGGTCATCATCAGGGTAGAACACAGGCACAGAGTGTTTATAGTAGTGCTGCAGCCGGGAGAGCAGTTTTTTCACAACTCCAGGATATTTTTCAGACAAGTCGTTTCTTTCCTCAGCGTCTTTAACAACATCAAAAAGCCAAAGTTTCTTTGTTGGTGGGTCAGATGATAGAATCTTTGACTCACTGAACAAAGACGGTGGTGGGAACCAGTGGCTGCAGCCTACAGAAATAGGAACAGATAAGGGATTAGTTCTCATACATACAGGGCAAGAGTAGCCTCAGACCTGGGATTCAGGCTATGTCTACACTACAATGATCTATCGGAAAAGGTACGGAAATTGCACTCCGCAATTTGTGTATCTTTTTCCGATAGTTTTTTTGGAAGAGGCTTTTCCAAAATTTCGTGCGACTACACTGTGCCAAATTTCGGAAAAGCCTCCTCTTTTGGAAGAGCCCTTCTTCCTCATGGGAGGAGGAAGACAGGGCTTCTAAAAGCGCGTCTGCTCTTTTGCAAAAAAAAGGTGGACGATCAGATGCGTTTCCTATGTGTAGACATAGCCTCAACGTTAAATGTGACCTATTTAATTTGAAAGAAATTCCACTGAAGTTGGCTCCAAGAATGTGGTTCTCCCATTGTAATGTAAGCACAGAAAGACAGATACAAAAACTATGACTTCATGGAACATATTGTAAATATTGGCCTGCATTTAAATAAGGCTTAGCCCCTAATTTTTACATTACATGGTAAATCATGAAAGCTGAAAGAGAGTAAATTATGGAAATGCGAAGTTTATTATGTTTGAAACTGGATGAACTGGCACCGGACGTAAACCTCTAGAGGGGAAATATCATTTCATTACCTGGATACCCTGTCAGTAATTTCCACCTTCCATGTCGAATTGCAGCATGTATGGATATATTGAAGATTGAATCTTCCCATGTAAAAGAATTATGTGGTGAGGATGTCTTGTTGTTAATACCAGGACCTTAATAGAACAATAAGATAGATTTAGATGCATTTTGTAATGATAAATAATTTAACTAAGATTTTGTTAAGAAACAAACCAATATAATGCAATACTGGAATATAAACGCATATTCTGCAGTAAATAAGTACATTGTATAAGATATAATAGGGCTCTCAACCCTGCCAAAAGGTTCAGAGTTAATATTACCATTTCTGACATTCATGGTATTTATTTATACACCTGTTCTAACACAATTGTCTAATATTTCAATTCTCAAATCTTAAAGTATACTCAAAAAAACTGTGCATACCCAGGTAAACTATATGTACAAACAACATATTTATATGTACACACAGCAAGCAGCGTATACAAATACAGTACCAATTTGCATTCAACTACAGATTTGCATACGCAATGGCCTGTTCATGTATTTTAGAGCTGAAAATGCAAATTTTAAAAGTTTGACATCATATATCAGTCAATGTTTGTTTTCTTACATCTAGTGTTATAAAAGAATTCTTGGTCAGTGAGTTGAACAATTAAGTAGCTTAGCCAATCTTAAAGACTAAGACCAACACCATGAATTGAACCCAGATGCAAACATGGAGCCAGGTGCACATCTTTGGTATGATATATGGATTATATTTTTACTGATAAATGTCTATTTCAACACACACACACACACACACACTTTCCATCAATAATAACAGAAATTTACATATAGACAAAATAAGAAAAATGCAACTCAAAAACACATTAGTTTAAGGCCAGGCTATTTACTTTTATATTTTGACATAAGATACTAGCAATTCGAGTTTTAACTGTTCTAAAGCTGCAACTTTTTGAATCCTAACATCTACTGTTATTAAACAATTATTAAACAATTACCACAATCCAGCTGTGAGAGGATGAAATACACTACAGTTCATCTTCTCCATACAAAAAATTCCCTCAATTACCTTAATTGCAAATAAGAGCCTCCCCTTCTCTGTAGCCCACCTACTAAGCGTTACTCAACAGTACTATTTCCTCTCAAATGCCTGTTTTATGACACGATCGCATTTCCACTGTTAAAAGAAACAAGTTTAATTCAAAAGTTGCTGTTTTAATATTTAATGTTACATCAACTACGTCGGTATCAAATGTCATAACATATTTGGAGTAAAGTTTCAGAGGGGTAGCCATATTAGTCTGTTTCAGTAAAAGCAATGAAGAGCCCTGGGGCACCTTAAAGTTTAATTATTTAGGTTGGGGTTAGTCTTTAAGGTGTCACAGGACTACATTATACGAGGTGACGATATCTGATAGGTAACCAATGAAAGCATTTAAATAGCTTATATAGCATTGGGATGGGGCGTGTGCCCTGCACTGTCTCTTTAAGGGGTTAAACCCAACCCTGGGTGAGGGCTGCAGCTATGCAGCAAGCAGCTGCAACAAATGGCAGACAATTAGGGCCCAGCTGAGGGGAGTATAAATAAAGGCTCATGAAGAAGAGTAGGGATACTCTTGTTCTGACTGGGGAGCAGGAGGGACCTAGCTGCCAGGGAAGGTAGGGGCTTCCTGATTTAGAACAGAGCTGGGGAGAGTCAAGCAGGGCTGGGAAAGCTCTGGCAAGACAAGCTTCCAGGCTGCAGGGCCTGAGCAAGGTCTCAGGGTACCAGAGCTGCAGGGAGGCAGCCAGGATAGGCAAAAGCAGCAGGTCCTCACAGGTCCTTGCCAGTGATGAGGGGCCATTTCTAACTGCACTTTGCCCCTGTGGCAGGGGCTAGAAGAAGATATTTGGATATTAAAGAGGACTGATATCCAGAGGGTAGGTGCTCTGCACATCTGAATATTTAAGCCCCTCTACAATGTGTCAATTTAAACAAAAAAAATCAAGGCATCCAAAAATGCCTTTTGAAAATTCAGGTGTTGAATTACTAGCATGATTCATAGTTTATTTTACCATTTGTGCATTTCAAAACACACATACACTTTAGTTTAGAAGCGCAAATGAATCACAACTGAATAAATTATGTAAATAAAACTTGAATGCTGCTCAGAACGGATATTACTTTTTATAAAGCTTATGATGTTCCAATCAATTACACCGATAATTCAACTTGCTAGTACATAACCCTATAAAATATACGTGAGTCAGAAAATATTTTACCTACATTTTTACGTGCACAAGTGAATTTGCAGAAATAATCTGAGGTATATTGGTCTTAGTGTGGAGAAACTGCAGATATAAATCCTTGCCCAGAAGATAAGAATACTGACTATCTCGATATTAATGTTTTGGTTTTACTGTATCTTTAAACAATTATATAAATAGCATCTTGATTTTAAAATAAATCTCAAAGACAGTCCCATTTCCGACACAACTTGTTTCTTCAAAGAGATCAGAGTCAAATCTCACACAAAACATATGGTTTCATTGCTAACATTAGGGTTACCATATTTGCAGGGGCGGCTTTAGGAAGTGCGGGGCCCAATTCAAACAGTTTCGACAGGGCCCCGGCAGTCAGGATTTTTTATTGAGAAAAAAAAAACCCCCACATCGCACACAAAAAAAGAGTCACAGCCCCTTTAAATCTCCAGCTACAGGGCAGAGTCATGTCCCGCCTGCCCCAGGGCCAAACCCCCGCACACGCAAACCCCCCATCTGCAGTGCAGCCAAACTCCCGCATACACGTGGGGCCCTCTTAGGCGCACGTCCCGATTTGGGAGAATCAGTGGAGTCAGTTGTTTTGGATGCTCTTGTCCCATGCCTTGTCCAGGGCTAGTTTGGAAGCTCTTCCACACAGAAAACTTATCTTTCCTTGCACTTTGGTAAAGTGCCACATACATTCAGAGCACTCTGCAACCCCAGGGCTGAATGTGGCTCGCCAAGTGTTCTTTCCAGCTTGCCCAGCTGATTGGCAGAGCATGCATACCTGTAGCCAGCAGCATGTGTTCAGCTGTCCCTTCCCCCCCAACATTGCTCCATTCTGCAGCCAAGCTGTTCCCAGGATTCTCCTTGTAGCTATGCAGAGTCAGGGTGTCCTCTTGTTCCTGTACCCCATCTCTGCAGAGCAGGGGTTGGGTAGGGGGAGACACACAGTGGAGCTGCTCCAATCTGAAGCATTGGTAAGTGAACCAGAGGAGTACCTGTCTTAAGAGGCACTTCATTGTTTCTAAGATTTCAGTGCTCATTCTCTCTCCCATTCACTCTCTCTCACATACACATATACACGCACTCTCCTCCCCCATCTCTGCAGAGCAGGGGAGGAGGAGACAACAGAGCAGGACAGCTTTCCCTGTAGTAGACAGATTGTTACTTCTCTCAGAAACTTACCTGGAAGTAGCCAGCACACACACACTGTGTCATGATCACACACAACCAGTCTGCCACAGTTACTGTGTGTGTGTGTGGTACAGACACACACACACAGTGCCACACACACTCTCGCATCTCTGTGCCACACACTCTCAATCTGTGCCACAAAGTCTCTCTCACACTCAGAGTGTGTCTCTTTCACACACACACACACACACACACACACACACAGCACGCTACACCCCCCCACACACAGCACCCTGCACACACACTGCACGCTACACCCCCCCACACAGCACCCTGCACACACACACACCCCTACCTCGAAAATTATTGCCCACTTTATAGCTTTAAATATTTCAGCCAAGTCTTCTCAGATGCTTCTTCCCAGGCTCAATGATCCTGGTTTGGGTCATTTCTTTTTTTGTCTCATCGTGCCTGTTAAAGTCTTCATTTCCCTTCTCTAAACCTTTTCAGCATTAAATTGGAGTGTAAGGAAAAGTATGTGAAACATACAATGAATCTGAAAATGGTGAAGAAAAGCATTACATGTGGTATTTATAATCCAGGCTGAAAATTTCAAATCTCTCTTCATTTAGGCTATGTCTACACTGACAGCTTCTTGCGCAAGAACATCTTGCTCAAGGGTTCTTGTGCAAGAAGTCTTGCGCAAGAAAACGTCTACACTGCCATGTGCGAGCTGTGCTTTTGCACAAGAGCATCCATGGCAATGTGGATGCTCTCTTGTGCAAGAAAGCCATTTTAGCCATAGGGGTTTCTTGTGCAAGAAACCCCTGCCAAGCCTCCGCACTATCCTGTTGCACAAGAGTTGCTGCACAAGAGGGCTTACACCTGTTAAAAAAGAGTGTAGCTCTTGCACAAGAAGCCCTCTCTTACTGCACCTTACTGTACATTTCCTTGAGCAAGAGCGGGCGGGCAGTGTGGGTGCTCTGCGGATTCTTGCGCAAGAACGGCAGTACTTGTGCAAAAAGCCGCAAGTGTAGACATAGCCTTATTGTTTATATTACTTGTGACTGATTTCAAATTGATTCAATCTTTAGACCTTCAACTGACAAACGAAAGATCTCAGACAAATATTCTGTGACAATAATTTTATATAAAAAGTTTCAGAATAACCAGTGCCCATTCTGAAAGGACTTACAAGACAGATAAGAGATGTAAGCTGAACTTCAAATCTTTTCAACCAAAGTTCAACTTCCTGGCACCTAATCTGAGATATATATTTGTAGACAGAGATTCATTACCGTGATAAAAAAAATTTAGAGAATATTAATTTGAATTTTGTTCTTTAATCTTCAATCATAAAAAGATTAGCCAGCAGATAATAGTGAAAGTTTTCGTTTTTAAAAAATGCACTACTGGATACTGTATTTCATGTACCAATGTATATTCAAGCCACTTACAAGAGATGTAGTGAATGTATATGACTCATTATATCCCCCACCCCTTTTCTCCCCCCAAACATAAGGATAGCTCAAGTAATTGGTAGAATCTTAAAGAGTAGAGCTATAAATAGCCAGTACATCTATGAAAGAAAAGGAAAACTAACCTAAAATATTATCCTTCAGTCTATGATTACGATGATGAAAATGAACCATGCTGCGAGGAGGGTTTTTTAAATGGCAAGATATCAAAGACTATGGTTTTCTTTCACATGGCATTTTGTGAAATCCCAACACATGAGTTAGAGGGTCCA